TTAAATGTCTCGACACATCATTATAAATACATTGACAACATTATAAATGTATCGACACATCATTATAAATACATTGACAACAATATAAATGTCTTGACACATATATAAAAATTCTTTGACTCATCTCATTAAATACATTGACAACAGTATAAATGACTCGACACATCACTATAAATTCTTTGACACATCACTTTAAATTCTTTGACACATCACTTTAAATTCTTTGACATAACAGTATAAATGTATCGACACATCACTATTAATACATTGACAACAGTATATATATCTCGACACATCACTATAAATACACTGACAACAGTTTAAATGTCCCGACACATCACTATAAATACATTCACAAAACAGTATAAATGTCTTGACACATATATAAAAATTCTTTGACTCATCTCATTAAATACATTGACAACAGTCTATAAATACATTGACAACAGTCTATAAATACATTGACAACAATATAAATGTCTCGACACATCACTTTTTGACACATCACAATGATTACATGTCTCGACATATCACTATAAATACATTGACAAATGTCTCGACACATCACTTTTTGACACATCACAATGATTACATGTCTCGACATATCACTATAAATACTTTGAGACATCACTATAAATACATTCACAAAACAGTATAAATGTCTTGACACATATATAAAAATTCTTTGACTCATCTCATTAAATACATTGACAACAGTCTATAAATACATTGACAACATTATAAATGTCGCGACACATCACTATAAATACTAACAGTTTAAATGTCTCGACACATCAATATAAATACTTTGACATATCACTATAAATACTTTGACCCATCACTATAAATACATTGACAATGACACTTCACCATAAATACTTTGACATAACAGTATTAATACATTGACAAAACAGAAGAAAATTGTCTCGACACCTCAGTATAAATACATTGACAACATTATAAATGTATCGACACATCATTATAAATACATTGACAACAATATAAATGTCTCGACACATTACTATAAATACTTTGACAACCGTATAAATGTCTCGACACATTACTATAAATACTTTGACAACCGTATAAATGTCTCGACACATTACTATAAATACATTGACAACATTATAAATGTTTCGACACATCACTAAAAATTCTTTGACACATCACTTTAAATTCTTTGACACATCACTATAAATCCTTTGACACATCACTATAAATTCTTTGACAGAAGTATAAATGTATCGACACATCAATATAAATACATTGACAACATTATAAATGTATCGACACATCAATATAAATACATTGACAACATTATAAATGTATCGACACATCACTATTAATAAAAGTATAAAATTGTCTCGACATATCACTATAATTACAATGACAACAGTATAAATGTCCCGACACATCACTATAAATACACTGACAACAGTATAATTGTCTCGACACATCACTATAAATACTATGACACATCACTATAAATACTTTGAGACATCACTATAAATACATTGACGACAGTATAAATGTCTCGACAAATCACTATAAATACTTTGATTTGACAACAGTATAAATGTCCCGACACATCACTATAAATACTTGACACAGCATTAAAAAATATATTGACAACAGTATAAATGACTCGACACATCACTATAAATACATTCACAAAACAGTATAAATGTCTTGACACATATATAAAAATTCTTTGACTCATCTCATTAAATACATTGACAACAGTATAAATGACTCGACACATCACTATAAATTCTTTGACACATCACTATAAATGCATTGACAACAGTATAAATATCTCGACACCTGACTATAAATACATTGACAACAGTATAAATGACTCGACACATCACTATAAATGCATTGACAACAGTATAAATTTCTCGACAAAGCACTATAAATACTTTGACACCTTTGACACATCATTAAAAAATATATTGACAACAGTATAAATGTATCGACTAATCACTATAAATACTTTGAGACATCACTATAAATACATTCACAAAACAGTATAAATGTCTTGACACATCAGTACAAATGTCTCGACACATCACTATAAATTCTTTGACACATCACTTTAAATACATTGACAACAGTATATATATCTCGACACATCACTATAATTACAATGACAACAGTATAAATGTCCCGACACATCACTATAAATACTTGCCACATCATTAAAAAATATATTGACAACAGTATAAATGTCCCGACACATCACTATAAATACACTGACAACAGTTTAAATGTCCCGACACATCACTATAAATACTTGACACAGCATTAAAAAATATATTGACAACAGTATAAATGACTCGACACATCACTATAAATCCTTTGACAACAGTATAAATGTCTCGACACATCAATATAAATACTTTGACACATCACTATAAATACTTTGACATAACAGTATAAATGTCTCGACAAATCACTATAAATACTTTGACACATCACTATAAATACTTTGACATAACAGTATAAATGTCTCGACAAATCACTATAAATACTTTGATACATCACTATAAATACTTTGACACATCACTATAAATACATTGACAACAGTATAAATGTCTCGATGCATCACTATAAATACTTTGACACATCACTATAAGTACATTGACAACAGTATAAATGTATCGACACATCAATATAAATACTTTGACACATCACTATAAATACATTGACAACAGTATAAATGTCTCGACACATCACTATAAATACTTTGACACATCACTATAAATACATTGATAACAGTATAAATGTATCGACAACTCAATATAAGTACTTTGACACATCACTATAAATACTTTGACAACAGTATAAAAGTATCGACACATCAATATAAATACTTTGACACATCACTATGAATTCATTGACAAAACAGTATAAAATAGTCTCGACACATCACTATAAATACATTGACAACAGTATAAATGTCTCGACACATCACTATAAATACTTTGACACATCATTATAAATACATTGACAATAGTATAAATGTCTCGACACATCAGTTTAAATGTCTCGAGACATCACTTTAAATACTTTGACAAAATAGCATATATGTCATGACACATGACTATAAATACTTTGACAAAACAGTACAAATGTCTCGACACATCAGTACAATTGCTTTGACACATCACAATGATTACATTGACAAAACAGTATAAAATTGTCTCGACACATCACTATAATTACAATGACAACAGTATAAATGTCTCGACACATTACTATAAATACATTGACAACAGTATAAATGTATCGACACATCACTATTAATACTTTGACACATCACTATAAATACTTTGACATAACAGTATAAATGTCTCGACACATCACTATTAATACATTGACAACAGTATATATATCTCGACACATCACCATAAATACTTTAATACACCACTAAAAATACTTTGACAACAGTATAAATGTATCGACACATCACTATAAACACTTTGACAAAACTGTACAAATGTCTCGACACATTACTATAAATACATTGACAACAGTATATATATCTCGACACATCACTATAATTACAATGACAACAGTATAAATACTTTGACCCATCACTATAAATACCTTGACACATCACTATAATTACAATGACAACAGTATAAAGATCTCGACACATCACTATAAATCCTTTGACACATCACTATAAATACATTGACAACAGTATAAATATCTCGACACATAACTATAAATACTTTGACAACAGTATAAATATCTCGACACATGACTATAAATACATTGACAACAGTATAAATATCTCGACACATCACTATAAATACTTTAACACATCACTATAAATACTTTGACAAAACTGTACAAATGTCTCGACACATCACTATAAATACATTGACAACAGTATAAATGTCTCGACACATCACTATAAATACATTGACAACAGTATATATATCTCGACACATCACTATAAATACATTGACACATCACAATAAATACTTTGACGAAACAGTACAAATGTCTCGACACATCACTATAAATACATTGACAACAGTATAAATGTCTCGACACATCACTATAAATACTTTGACAAAACAGTATATATGTCTCGACACAAAACTATAAATGCTTTGACACATCACTATACATACTTTGACACATCACTATAAATACTTTGACAAAACAGTACAAATGTCTCGACACATCATTATAAATATATTGACACATCACTATAAATACATTGACAAAACAGTATATATGTCTCGACACATCAGTTTAAATGCCTCGGCACATCACTATAAATACTTTGACAAAACAGTACAAATGTCTTGACACATTACTATAAATACATTGACAACAGTATAAATGTCTCGACACATTACTATAAATACTTTGACAAAACAGTACAAATGTCTCGACACATCACTATAAATACATTCACAAAACAGTATAAATGTCTTAACACATCAGTACAAATGTCTCGACACATCACTATAAATACATTGACAAAACAGTATAAATGTCTTGACACATCAGTACAAATGTCTCGACACATCACTATAAATACATTGACAAAACAGTATACTATGTCTCGACAAATCACTATAAATAAATTGACACATCATGATAAATACCGCGGCACATCAATATAAATACCTTGGCACATCAGTATAAATACCTCGACACATCAGTATAAATACCTCGGAACATCAGTATAAAAACCTCGACACATCAGTATTGAAACTTCAGCACATCAGTATAAATACCTCGACACATCAGTATAAATATCGCGACACGTCAATGTTTATACCTCGATACATCACAATAATTACTTCTGCTAAATAATAGAAAAATCTGAAAACATCCGTACAAATACCTCGACACACCAATACACTTACCTCGGCACTTGTGTACATCTGTATAAACCAAGGCCTATCAGAACAAATAACTTGGCAGATCAGGATAAATTACATAGCAAAACCACAAAGTTGATATATATATACCTAGCCAGAATTCTCCATTGATATGTCCAAATCCATCTTTGTACTCTGCCCAGGACCGCATGAAGTCAACGCTACCGTCATATCTGTTCTGAATCACCTGTTTGTTATAAGGTATAGCTGAAATGATTTCTCATCATCTGAGATCCCTTAATCTTTTATTTCCACCAGATGTAAAAGAATGGGCTAGCAATACAGATAAAATGCGTTATTTCGGCCTCCATTTTACAACCGATCGTGCGTCATTATCTACTGATGTCAATAAATAGTTACATAACAGACAACGCTCTTTAAAAACGGGTTTCATGACAATGGATAATATTATTGATTAAGTAATCGTTTGTGATATCAGTTTATTCATCCTGTCAGTCTACCGTGTTTACCGGTCATATGGATACCAGGTCATTGTGACAGCCGTTTGCTTTTTGTTTGTCAATCTTATTTCATGATAATGGACAAGAGGCCCAGAGGGCCTGTATCGCTCACCTGAATATATTTAAAATAATTGGTATGAAGTAAAGATATAGCACTCCATGGTAGGTGTTGTAAGTACATATGAAGCCCCTCCCCTATGCCCCTAGGGGGGTCATACCAACCGTTTATCCAAAATTGAGACCCCTTGGCCCAAGGATGTTCCAGACTAAATAATGATAAAATCCCTTAATCCCGATGGTCGAAGAAGGATTTTAAAGGTTTTATCTCTATTTTCCTTTTCGGCCCCGCCCTTCTACCCCCTGGGAGACAATACCCACTGCTTATACAAAACTGAGTCCCCTTGGCCCAAGGATGCTCCAGACTAAATTAGGATAAAATCCCTAAATCCCTATGGTAGAAGAAGGATTTTAAAGGTTTTACCTCTATTTTCCCAATTGGTCCACGACTCTCTGCCTCCAGGAGGGTTAGACATACCGTTTATACAAAATTGGTTCCTCTTCACCCAAGGATGCTTCATACCAAATTTGTACAAAATCCTGTCATTAGTACAGAAGAAGAAGGTATTTGAAGAATTTGCTATGTTTCCCCTATTAAGCCCCTCGCTTCTGCCCTCAGGGAGGCCACACTCGCTGTTTATAGGAAATTGAGTCCCTTCTGCCCAAGGATGCTCCAGACTAGATTAGAAAAAAAATCCTTAATACCTATGGTTGAAGAAGGGTTATAAAGGTTTTACTTCTATTTCCCCTATTGGGCCCCGCCCCTCAGGTTCCAGGGGGGCCACACCCACCGTTTATACAAAATTGGTTCCCCTTCCCCCAAGGATGCTTCAGACTAAATACGGAACAAATCTTTTGATTCCTACAGAAGGAGGAGGATTTTATTGAATTTGCTATATTTCCCCTATTGGGCCCTGCCCCTCAGCCCCCAGGGGGGCCACACCCACCATTTATACAAAATTGAGTCCCATTGGCCCAATGATGCTCCAGACTAAATAAGGAAAAAATACCTTACTCCTTACGGTAGAAGAAGGATTTTAAAGGTTTTACCTCTATTTTCCCTATTGGGCTCTGCCCCTAGGGGGCCACACCCACCGTTTATACAAAATTGAGTCCCCTTGGCCTAAGGATGCTCCAGACCAAATTTAGTCAAAATCTACTTGGCCCTTCAGGACTAGTAGCGTTTTAAAGGAAAAGTTGACGGACGAACGGACGGACGACGGACGCTGCGGTATGGCATAAGCTCGCCATGGTCCTTCGGACCAGGTGAGCTAAAAATGTTTTGGTATTCAGTTGTAACATATGAAATGTTCCCTTACCGTCCACGGTCCTCCAGGAGTGTCCATATCACAGTAGACGTCAAATGTTGTCCCTGTTACCGGGGTAACGGTAAACACACCGGAACCATAGCTTAAACCCACGTCGTTACAGTCTGCCAAACCTTTCAACAGAGAATAGAAAATGTTGTTCAAAGAAAACTTGATCAAAACTGAAATAGAGAAACGAACTAAATTATCCGATAATAGTAGCACATAATACATGAACAATGACGGACTGCAAATAACCACCTTCAATCTGTAAATTTCGTAACGGTGTCTTCGTATACTGTTGTATTATTTCAATGAACATAAAAATATACTAGTGGGGCGACACCTGAAGGGGTGTCACAGATGGAATGAAGTGTAGAGGGCAATAACTCTGTTTAAACACGGGTAAAACTTCTATTCAACATGACATTGAAGAAATTGTTTAAGTGTTTTAACAAATTTGACCCGTTTGACCTTGAATAAGGGTCAAAGGCATTTCCTTTTGAAAAATTTGTGTGGTATAATGCTGCTGTAAAGGCAAAGAAAAAGAAATGGACAAAATTTACCTTCGGACCAGGTGAACTAACAAGAGTAGCGTAGGACAGAACAATATACGGCCGTCGAATGCCATATAGTGTTATATATTAACTTGCATTAAAATAAGATTTGCATCACCTTTAGAGTGGCTAGCTAGCTATATATAGCATGCTATAAATCTCACCTTTCACTACAAAGTGAAGGTTCGATTTTCTTTAATTTTCTAACAGTTTGAGGAAAACAAGTAATCAAAAGACTGGTCTCCAACTCATTATATTAACACAACTTGATATCATGATTATGAAGCCTACCAGTTTCGAAGAAATCGATAGAAAACTGTAGATCTTCGGACAAGATTCAAGTACTAGAAATAAACAAAGGGCAATAACTTCTACAAAAATAGGCGAATCAAATGTTTGTTCAAAGAAACATAACTATATATCATGACTATAACGATTTCCAAGTTTCAAAGAAATCGGTCGAAAAATGTAGGAGGAGATCGCCGGATAAAAACCAAATACTGAAATAAACAAAGGGCAATAACTTTTGCAAAAATTGCCAAATCAAAATTCTTTATAGGGCAACACTACAACATGTCATGATAATAAAGCCAAACAAGTTTCAAAGAAATCGATCAAAAATTGTAGGAGGAGATCTCCAGACAAAAAATCAAATACTGAAATAAACAAAGGTCAATAACTTTTTGCAAAAATTTTCAAATCAAAATTCTTTTAAGGGAAACACAACTTCATACTGTGATGTCATATACATGACATTTTGAAATCTTGGCTGTTATGTCACTGTTTATCTATTTGGGAATTAGTGTCTGTTGCTTAAAACAAATATAAGCTGAAGTTTGGATAGGATTTCTGTTGTTCATTATCACTGTGTAGGACTGTGATAGCTAGCTAGTACCGAAGCGGGTATGGACGCTGGGCGCAGACAAGCCACATGATGTTTTCCGATATTTCTAGTATTTTCTAGTAGCGTAGAGACAAATAAAGGAGCACAACAGTTATACAATAAACAATGATTTATGTGATGCAGATAATTTGTAAACTATTTCATGCGATCTGAAGATATTGGTAAGAAATGACTACAAAGTACCGGTACAAAATCATTTAAAAAGAAAGAAGATGAGAAAACTATTAAAGTATGACATATACAATGATGAAACGGACGTTACTGGCATATGTAGATGATACCGGGATAAACATATAATGGTCATATGTCTAAATGTAGTCATTACGATGTCATTGACTTAAATGGTTCTTCGTCTGTGTACGGCGAATAGTTGTTGATACATTTTCAACTGTACGGCAGCTATTATGTTAACAGTACGGCGAATAGCTATACTAACATAACAATGCTTAGAGCGAGCATTTGTTTGTTTGTTTGTTTGTTTGTGTCATTTAGGGCCATGGTGATTTTTTTGATTTTTTTTATTTCTTTTAACAAACAGGTGAGTAGCGAAGATAAAATCAGATAAAATGGTTCATTTTAAAAGCATTCGCATTGTACGTGTAGATAATTAACAAGAGGCCCAATGGGCCTGCATCGCTCACCTGGTATAAATCTCACACTTGTAACCTTAAAAGTGATCTAAGATAAAGCAACAGGCAAAATAAAATATCAGTATTTATGATTAAAGTTCATTCAAAAGAACCTGTTATTTTTTTTTTAAACATTTCACCCCTGTGATTGAAAGTCGAACAAGTCATTATGTTGAACAAATTGTATAGCCTTTCATCTCAGGATGCAACTTGCAAAGTGTCAACATCCTGGGACCCATGGTTATTCAGAAGAGGTCGTTTAAAGATTTTAAACAAATTTGACCCCTTTGACCTTGAATATAAGTCAAAGTCATTCACTTAAACAAACATAGTAGTCCTCGATCCCAGCATGCTACTGACTAAATATCAACATCCTGAGCATTTTGGTTATTCAGAACAAGTTGTGTTTTTTTTTTTTTATATTT